TCCTTTTATTAACTTTTTGCCATCTCAGATAAGCAGTACAGTGATAAAAACCCCAAACATCTCATGAAACAGATGAACTAACCCTTAAATATATAACTAACAACACCAGAATCCTAACTCTAGATTTGATCCTACAATTTTTATTCAAGAAAAATCTCTCATTCACTTGGCATAGGAAGGTTTGTCTAAGTAAGGAATTCAGGACTGGCCCCACAATTCTTAAGTATGAGTCAGCTTTTCTGTTTTACATCTAGACAAAGATGTAAGAAGCAGTAAAGAAAAGGAAAACTTTTGAGAGATTTTGAGAAAATATCTAGATGGTTGGTCTATCTGTGCTGATCCTGCAGACCATAATAACCTCAAATTGCCATGAGCCCTAATGGGTGCTTTGTGTGAGCCAAGACCATAGTACCAGGCCTACAGACATGCCGCCTGGACAACTTAATAATATTCAATAGAAACCACAAAAGATCTATGTAGAAGTAGCCTGCAAAAGGCACATTTTAGACTCTGATCTATCCTTTACTTTAATATTTGCAACATTTCTTTTCCCCTGGTCTGAGACACGATGTATGGCTCTGGTCCTGCACCCTGTAGCATGGAGGCAGAGGGCTGCACCTGCGTAGAGCCCCACTGGCTTCACTGGGGGCCTGTCCAGGCACAGCAGTGCACCTGCATCCTTCATAATGCAGGACTGGGGTTGTGTTGGTTTATTCAAACAGAACCATAAGATTACTGCAAAGCTCTGCAGCTGGATGAGCCCTAACAAAGGATGACCTGTAGAGCAAACATTGTGGCAAGTTTGCTTGTCTTCAGCGGATGCATTTTAATCCAAAAAAGTCTATGGTTCATATATTATACAGTTCGCTCTGCAGCATCAGGCATTTGTAAGCAAGTGCTGCTGCAACCAAAACCTCTCCTGTAATGTTATTACCTTCCAGATTAATATGTTCTTTAAAGAATAAAAGGGCTACTCATTTTAAGCAGAGAAGGAGTAAATGCTTGCCAAAATCATCCCAAAAAATGGTGTATTGTGAAGACACTCGCATGTCACAGCTCAAAAATATCTTAAGAAACATTAAGCCAAAGCAGGGAAATTCAGGGTTAGGGCTAAAAATTAACTGACATGTTCTTAATTCACTGTGTCCTGAATAAGTATCACTAAATATGACACGTAATATCACATAATATTCTTTTGAGACAAATAAAATCTTAGGCACTGTGAAGTGGCATAAATGTGGAGTACTGTGCTGAGTTCTAGCCTTAACTCAAAATTCCCTTGTCTTTGTGGATTTAAGTCAGACCCTGAAATAATGTTAACAAATTCTTGATTATTTGAATTTTCTTTTGACTGTACTGTGAAAGGGGCTCTTAACAAAGCATTTGAAGTTTGATAAAATACCGTATTATTGAGCAATACACAAAAGGGGCCAAATTGAACCCTGTTCTAAAAAGATACAATGCCACTGAAATAACCGAGCTGTACCTACGTAGACCACAGATGAATTTGGCTCCATGAGCCTGATCACAAAAGGCAAAGAACAGCAAAACTCCTTTTAATTATTAACTATCCAGAACCTAATCAGAAGCTCACTGAAACACAGGGCCTGATCTTGCACTCACTGAAATCCATGTCAGTCTCGATATTGGCTTTAACTGGGAGTAGGATTTAAACATTATGCCCCAACCAATGTGTGCTAGGTGTCTGATTTCCTCAAGAGCAGAACATACACTTCATCAATTTTAAATATTTATGTTGACACATGCACAGTAACTACTCTACCTGGTTAAACAGCTTGCCTATTTATCTTTCTTCTTTTTTTCAAAACCACCAAAACAAAACCAGGAATGTTATGATTGAACACTTCCCAAATTTCAAGCCAAAAGTGTTTTTGAAGACTGACTAATAAAGCAAAATTATCTAAAGCAGACAAATGTCACTATCTATAAAACTTACATTCATCAAATCATCTTATTTTATTCTGAAAAGGTATTAAATCAAGAAAACCAATTCAACCTAGCAAAGGTATTAAAACCAAGAAAAACAGAAAGGTCTCATCCTTAGCTAAAATCTTGTACACAAAGTTTGAGCCAAATGTGAATTTCAAACACTTTAAAATGCTGAGTTTATTTTGGGCAGAGCAAAAAAAGCATTAATAATAGTGACAGAGATATTTTAAAGAATCCACATAAATCATTTTCCTTTTGCTAGTTATAAGAAATACGAGAGTAGAAGCTAATATTAAGGGATACCATTTTGCGGTCCTTTCTTAGGCAAAACTCCCAGCAAAAGTCAACAGAATTGATGTCAGAGCTAAAGACAGCAAGACTGGATTCATGATCTCATTTTCTTATTACAAGAGATTTTTTGTTGTTATTGTGATTTAGTCAGAAATGCTGAGCAGCAAATACCGATTCTGTTCATGTATTTTATAAGAGTACTGAAGCTTTTCTTTTGGGAAAAAAAATATTTAAAAGAAAAAAATCACAATCACAAGGATGATCCTATACTTCTTACTTGGACAAATCTCTCACTGAAGGATCTGACTAATACTTAAGAAAAACAGAAACCAGCCCAATGCACAGTGTTCCATGAAGTGTATTATAATACTATTATCACTACAAATACCAAAGCAAAATAACTAAGCCTGCGTTCAGTGCATCCCAAATGATAAAACAAAACACAAAACATGCATATCATTAACTGCATGGCATTTTACCCTTATTTAATGCTTCCCCTTTACTTAAAAATAGAGTATATTGGTTTGAATTGCTAACTAACACTTGTCTTGTAAATGTTATTCTTACTAGCTCCTGCTGATTTCCTTATCTAGCCCCAGCATGTCATCAGTTGGAGGACTGAGCATGAGCTCAGGATTGAGCCCTTGATTCTAAATGTAAGATCTCTATGAATTCATTGACTACAACTGTGCACCAGGAAGAACAACCGTAAGTGTGATTTCTATTCCATAATCCCACGATTAACCGAAACAATCTTTGCAGTTATCAACTAAAACATATGCTAGCATCAGCAGGCCCCCTGATATTTACATTTTTAACTTATTTGATCCTATCTGACTCTATTCCAGCACCAAATTAATGGAAGAGACCACTCCAACCTTACCTTACAAATCTGGAAATAATCCGACATAAGGGTCTCCTGGATTTCCTCTCTGGGAGTCCCTGCAGCCCCTGCAGTCCCTCCAGAGTGCATGGAGCCAGTGCCAGCCCCACTTCCACCACCACTGCCACTGCTACCACTGCTGCTGCCGCCAGGTGATGAGGCAGTTAAACCATCCAAAACTTTGCGGAAATTAAATTTCTTCATTTTGGAAAAATCTTTAGAAGGATTTGGGGGTAGGGAAATAATGTGCCTTAACACATTCAGTTACATGAAGCAAAAAAAAGAGTCTCTGCTGTTCCTCAAGAGTGAGGCAGCACTTTAGTCCCCTGTACCAAACAGGATGCCAGTATTATGTATAACTGACTGAAAAATACAAAGACTTCATTTTGTCAGATGCACAAGCTACCCTGGAAAGGTCCTTTATCAAAGAAAAGCTCCACAAGAGGCAAAATTAGGATGTCTGCTCAAAAAGGAAAGGCTGGCAAGCCACTGATTCTTTCACAGAATCCACCTCCAGTCGAGATATTTTGGTTACAAAAAACAAAATCAAAGACCATAAATTAAAACGCACACCGGCATCCAAAAAGAGCAGGATTCATCTCTCTTTCCCTATATCACCTCAGACTTGCCTTTCCTGCTCCGCCTTTTTATTCAAACAACAAGCCACATTCAAAAGCCCCCAAACCACTTGCAGTATGAGGTAAGGAGGTTGTTTCTAACGCCCGTACGACTGAAGAGTGGATTGTCTCCCTGCCACTGCTCTCTCCTCCGCCTCTTCCTCCTCCTCCTGCTCCTCTTGCTATCTGTCTATCTCTCTCTCCTAGCAGCGCCAGCTATTGCTGCCGTCCTTGATCCTCCTCTCACCCTTTCCATTCACAGCCTGGAGGGGAACCAGCCTTTCCCGCTCCAGAGCTTCCGACCCGCCACTACCACTGCAGAAGGTGACTCTCTCTTGCCATCCTGGGCCCCAGGCCACACTTCACAGCTGCCACCCAACGCCTCCCAAACCCCGCTGGCGCTTGGATGGTGGCCGCCCCGGCCTGGACACCTGCTGGGCACCGAGCTACCCCTCCGCAGTCCCCCTTGGCTGGCTCCTGGGTAGTCCCACAGCCAGTGGGCCACCACTGGCACTGGCACAGAGGTCTCCGGGCAGCCCTGCGCTGGCCCAGGGTGCCACCTGGCTGCGATGGGCAGGGGTCACTGCGTGGCCCTCCCAGGGCCACCCAGCACCACTGGCCCTGGGTGCAGGACACCGGGGCCACCCCGGGCTGGTGTCGCGGGACAACCTGAGCCCTCTGCCCAAAAGGTGCTGGTAACCAGGGCAATGGCCCCTGCCCCCAGCCTGGGTTTGAAATTTCCCTCTTTGGGGGGGTGGGGGGGAGGGAAGATGCGGAGCGCTGCGGTGCCGGCTCCTCCGCCGCGCTGCTCCCGCCCGTCCCCGGCGGCGCTCTCCGAGGTACTAACACCGCTGCTGCCGCGGCCCCGCCCCCCCGCGGGGATGGGCGGGGCAAACACGCGCGTTCTCCCTGATTGGCAGCAGTCTCGGCAAATCAACGCGCTCCCCACCCGCCGCCGCGCCATTGGCTGCTTGGAAGGAAGAGCGGGGCTACGGGGAGACACTGTCTGTTAAAATAGGAGGCGGGCCGTGAACGGCCGCTGCCGCCGCGCCATTGGCTGCCTGAAAGAAAGGGCGGGGCAAAAGGGAGGTGGCGAGTGCCCATCAAATAGTTGGGGTATGTGGATAAATGGCTGGTGCAGGAGCTAGGGCTGAGGCTGGGGCTGGTGCAATGGCTGTAACTATGGGTAAAGTGGGGGTAGAGCACACCTGGAGGGTCCCTTGCAGCAGTCCAGGAATTGCTGGTTTGATGGTGCCCCCTGCTATAATCAAGTAGCTAAGACAGCAGCGGGATGGATTGGTAAGTGGCTCCCCCTGCTGCAATTTACTGGGAATTATGCACTGGG